CCCCCCCCCCCCCCCCCCCCCCCCCTTATCAACTCTGGGCTTTGCTCTTATCTCGTTGGAGCCTTGTACACACACAGAAAAACCACAGAGATGAATCACGCTGAACTACAAAGAGGCTTTTCGAATTGGAGACAGGAGCCCTGCAGAATTTGTCAAACGAGCAAGCGAAGTCGTCCCTTGAACGCAGCACTTCCACTCGGGGAAAAGAAAAAATGGGGGGGTGGGGGGTTTAAGCATGACTAAAAACAGGACTAAAAGCAATATAATTAGTTATTATTTTAATTAAACCATCTGAGATGATGATGGCTAAATTAAATTAGTATGGTTTGTTTCAAACGATGCGTGTGTGTGTGTGTGTGTGTGTGTGTGTGTGTGTGCCTGCTCTTCCATCCCGCCCGTCCTTCAGCGATGTCAACGAGGCTGAGATCGAGGACGCTGCTCTGAAGCAACGCACTCATCTCCTCCAAGGAGGCTGCACAAAATCCTGCCCGTCTCTGCCGTCTTTCACCTTAATCACCCTCAAAGGGATTAAAAGACCTTTTAAGAACAAACAAGCCACCTTTAATCCTCCCGAAAAAAGAAAAAACAATTAAATGAAATTGCTGCATTTCCCCCTTTTTTATTTCACCGCTCTCTAAAGATCACTTTATAATTGATGTTCCACCAGTTTCACGAGTGTTAGTGCATTACATGATTACAGTCTTCTGTGATCAATAGCTGACACATAAATATACTGTTTATATTGAATGTAATCTAGCAGAGTGGGAGCCGGGGTTTAATTAGCCGCTGTGAGCCGTTTCCTGTGTTTGCAGCACCGCCTCACGCTCGCGACCTTTGGGCCTCTCGCAATCACGTTAATTGTAAAGTGCTGCATTTTATCGAGATGAGATGGAGCATTATGCATCGCACCTCTTAAATCTTTTCAGTCACTTAAAGTGTAAACGGTGTAACATGTGTACACTCGAAAAAAAAGCTGGTCTTAAATCAAGTGGTGGAAAAAGGCAGTTCTAGAGGAAGAGGAACTGTATTTGTAGCTGGTCTCTTCCAGGTAGCAGAGAAACCTTCTTTTCCTCAAATAGTGGCCAAAGTCTTTATTTAGAGAGACCTGATTTCTCCTGATTGAATATGATTAATTGATTGATTTCTTTACTTTCGTGTCATACAACATGCCGCACCCTCATGGGTTCATAAGACACCAGATATCGAGCTGCAGTGGTCAAACATTTCATTCAATTACAAAATGACTCTTCTCTTCCAGGCTCGGCAAATAGAATCTGCTACAGCAAAAGGTTCCTTTCCTGAACTCGAGTTTTTTATCATCACCCAGACAAAAGAAATCAACATAATTGGAGGTCAACCCTTATGTAAAGTTACATTAGGGAGGACTTAAAGTTTCTTTGGCTAATGGTAACTCGTCAAATACCGACGCCTGATCGGTGGCCCTGCACTTCAAACTATGACGCTCTATGTTGTCATTTTCTCCTTGCATGCAGTTCCTTTTCAAAACAAACTTCCATGTTCACAGGAAACGTACAGTTTCATGACTTTAGGTTTACTGACGCAACAAAACTCCTAAAAGATTGCGGTTTGGGTTAACATAATTATGTTTCTCACGTAAAATAACTGCGTTAGAGTAAAGAAGTTATTTAATAAAACTAATGTTTAAATAACGTTACATTTTAGTTTCATACAGGACATGAACAGCCACCTCCTGAGTTAAAGCCCTGTGTTTGTTTGACCCCTCCATCCTCCGCTCCCCCAACATAGTCTTTCTTGCTCTTTATACTACATCAGTTGCTCTGACGGTTTCTCCATTTAAAAGATATACCTTTTCATTCACTAATTATTTCCAGGTGCTTCTGTTTTGTTGCCATTAAGGGAAGCGAACGTTATTAGCACAGAATTGTTTACATTAAAAGTTTTCCAGGAAAATCAATAAGCATATTCCCTCCTGTTCCTGGTCAACTTTCTACTTATTTTTGGTCCTTTTTTGACCTGCAACAGTCCCCAACTCAAGCGTCGATTTGCACACGATCCACCCTCTAAATCGTTATGTTTGGGAAATATATCAGAATATAGAAGCGACAGGAAATTATTCCAAAACAGTATCTTAGTTATAAAGTCAGACACGTTCCCGGTGGGTGTTGGCCTCCGCCTGGGCTGCCCTTTGTCACCGGTCCTGTTCGTGACTTTCATGGACAGGATATCTAGGCGCAGCCTCGGGGTGGAGAACGTCAGGTTCGGGGGTCTCGGGATCGCCTCTCTGCTGTTTGCAGATGATGTGGTCCTGTTAGCCTCCTCGGATCGTGACCTCCAGCATTCACTGGGGCGGTTTGCAGCCGAGTGTGAAGCGGCGGGGATGAGAGTTAGCACCTCCAAATCTGAGGAGATGGTTCTCTGCCGGAAACCGGTGGATTGCTCCCTCCAGGTGGGGACGGAGTGCCTACCTCAAGCGAAGGAGTTTAAGTATCTCGGGGTCTTGTTCACGAGTGAGGGTAAGATGGAGCGGGAGATCGACAGGCGGATTGGTGCGGCTGCAGCAGTAAAGCAGGCGCTGCACCGGACCGTCTTGGTGAAGAGGGAGCTGAGCCGGAAGGCAAAGCTCTCAATTTACCACTCGGTCTACGTTCCTACCCTCACCTATGGTCACGAACTCAAGGTCGCGGCTACAAGCGGCCGAAATGAGCTTCCTCCGTAGGGTGGCCGGGCTCAGCCTTAGAGATAGGGTAAGGAGCTCGGTCATCAGGAGGGAGCTTGGAGTCGAGCCGCTACTCCTTCGCGTCGAAAGGAGTCAGCTGAGGTGGTTCGGGCATCTAATTAGGATGCCTCCTGGACGCCTCCCACTGGAGGTTTTCCAGGCAAGTCCAACTGGGAAGAGACCCCGGGGAAGACCCAGAACACGCTGGATCCCCTCGGGATCCCCCAGAATGAGCTGGAACATGTTGCCGGTGAGAGGGAGGTCTGGGTCAGCCTGCTTGGCCTGCTGCCACCGCGACCCGACCCCGGATAAGCGGTGGAAAATGGATGGATGGATGGAGTTATAAAGAGTCAGAGCTGGAGGCGATCAGTGTGACATGACCCACCTCCCGGTTGTTTGTTTTGTATATTTCTTCTTATGTGAGTCTTGTTTGTTTATTTGAGATGTTGAGTGTCTTTTCGTATCCTAGCAGGACATGATACATTCCTACCACATCAACATTTGAGTGTATAATCACCACAGATCTCTCCCACTGACTGGCGTTTGACCTATCAACGGAGCTATGGGCCACAGCGTCTCAATTGTCTGTATACTTGTAGCCTCTGGTTGAGTTTCGTTGACATTTTCTGGCATAATGTCACATCTAAACCAAGCCCTCGGGAGACAAGCGCTGGAGCAGAGCACCACGGCCCAAAGATGGGCCTTCTTCATTAGGAATGCACAGAGCAGTGGACATGAAACCCCTCATGGACGGACAATAAGGTGACCTTCTGCATCCAGGCATGACATCTCTCCCAGAGAGCCAAGCGTCCGTGACGTGGTGCGCACCTAAAAACCGTCCATTCGACCTCTGTGCTCTGCAATAATGAACTACTGCAGAGGTAACAACCCCTCAGCCATTAACAGTTAATCACAGAGCTTCTGTGGTAGCGTCCCCCTGTGTGCCAGCGCTGCCAAAAACAGGTAGATAAAAGTCTGCTGAGAGCTGATTGGCGCCTGTGGTTAATACAGCCGTGAATGACTTAACAATTAGGAGTTCCCAGCGGAGAGACCGATCTGCTTTCTGCCAGAGGAAGTAAACAACTGGTTGACCGCTGAGGCACAACATGAAGTGTTGAGTCCTCTCGATGCTGAAGGACAACTACACAGATGAGAGTCTGCTGCTGTTCTGATTTTTCAGAGTTAACTATAACGATAACTATTCAAAACAGTTTGAATCACCTCATCCCCTGCAACAGCAGCCAGAAAGTGCAGGACAGATGTAACGGGAACGTAACCTGTCAAATATTTCCTCCCTCGTGCTTTTCAATCCCTCGTGGCCCTTGTGGTCCGAAGGGCCCGTTTCACAAAAGGGATTTGTGAGCACTGCTTACAGGCAGATTTCAAATTGTGGCGGCATCATAATTTACTGGAGCTTGTTAATTGCAGTTAGCTTTGCAAGTCCTGCAGGGCTCTTGCATGCTTATGCACGGGTTGCAGTAATGATTAGAGTGAGTACGATACCAGTATTGTATATGCCTCCGATGCAGAATAAAATGTTGGATCAGTCTTTGCGGCATTCCGATATCTCGTTGTCATATCATTTATCAGCTCATTCACGCTACACAGGAACAACATGTGTCACTCGCTACTCGATCCGTACATCCTGCCTGATCGGTTCTGCACATGTGCAAACTCTTACTACACACCAGTGGATAAACACTCTGCACTCTATTTGTTCCTTGAGTGGAGAAGAGCTAGTTAATGTTAGCCGTAAAAAATTGTATGATGAAGGTAAATCATTATTTTATCATACATATTCAAAACTAATATAAATATATTTGGTTTTAACACAATGGTATTGTATCAGTACTCCACATCAGCCGATCAGGAAGGAAAAAATGGAATCTCTAATAATAATGTTGTATTGATTTTTGAAATGTGTCAAAAATATGCAGGAGAGGGAATTATCTCCATTTCATGACTCAAATATGTTGTGGTCTTAATGCCCCACTATGACAAAAAGACTTCCCCAAGTGTGTACTATACTGAATACTGAATAAAAAGTATAGATTTGTCTGGAATGCAGCAGGGTTGTGAGTGTTCTTGGATGGCCTTCTAGGAAATGTAGGACTCAGTAGAATAAAATGCAATTCACATCGTACAAGTATCCACGAGTGTATTTATTCATAGTAAGGCCGTCAATCTTGATACGGCAGTTGTCTCCCCCTGATAACCTTCGTCTTCTTGCTCCTCAGGTGATAAGGATGTAGATGAGTACTACATGAGGAAGCACCACCATCCTGACTTTGGCGGCCGTGGTCCGACCCACATGGTGAAGCTGAATGCAGATCCCCCGCAGCATCAGCACCAGCAGCATCAGCAGCAGCAGCAGCATCAGCAGCAGCGGCAGCGTCCCCGCCGAGTCCAGAGGGCCATGTCCCAGGACCACGTGCTGTCCCCTCCCAGGACGCCACGCCGCGGGGACTACGGCTTATCTTCGTACGGCGTAATGGCGGCCGCCGCGTACAGCAGCAGCCGCCACCTCTCGGACGAGCAGCTGCTGTCGGCGGACCGCCTCCACTCCCAGGATCCCCTGCTGTCCCCGGCGATGAGGCGCGACAAGTTTCGGGAGAAGGCGATGGCGCGGGCGATGTCGCACGCCGACATGCTGATGCCCGTCACGCCAGTCATGGACCGCCACAAGATGACCAAGATGCACTCTCAACCCACTGCCTCTAACGACTCCTACAACACGCTGACGGTCAACCACCAAGCGACCACGTCTAAGAGGCAGGCGTTTGCCTCCCGACGAACACACACGGTGGACCACCTACAGTACATTCCCGGCCATCACCACACATACCGCACTGCCAGTAAGAACGAGGTAACTGTTTAACTGCTGAGTGGTTGGCTGAAGGATTCCTGAGACACACCAAGGACGTCAAGGGAAATCTCCTGAGCAGATACGTTCTGTCTTCGTATGACAACGACCTACATTTAAAGAAATGTCCTGCTTTTTAGCACAAGCTTCCTGTGTCATCCAGAATCGACCCCGGCAAAGACTTCTCTCTCTTAGAGCATCATAAGGGCTTTGCGCGTTGACACAAAGACGGATCCTTCATGTCACAAGTTTGACAGCCTGAAGAAAATATTTTTTAAACTCGACATGGGACTGGCAGGGAATTGTATCAACTTTATAAATATATAAATATACTATATTTACTATTTGTATTTTCAGTCCTTGTTATAGCTTTAGAGATTGACTGATGTAAGCACTTCAAGAGGTGCCCCTTAAAATTGCCCCATTTCAGTGATGAAGTGGATTTGTGGGTTAAAAAGCACAATTAACGAATTCCCTTTTTCCGTTTGGTTTATTTTACTCTTCTTCTTTGATAAATGGCCAGAACATATCAGCTTATTAGTAAAAACAGAGATTATTTCTGTTGCATACAATAGAAGATTGTAAATAGGCTAAATTAGCGGCATTAAAACAAGAAAATCTGGCCTTTTTTGATTTTATCGTTTTGTTTTCTCCCACCTGGAATCTATCCTGGATTCCCAATTAATCATTTTCATTTTAGATAAGGCAAAAATCGACTATTATTTCCACAGATGTCTGCAAAATATGTGGATGTAATATGTATATGGGGAGTACTTTTTTTCTGTTTTACCTCTGCTTGTAGCATAGAATGATGAGTATGAAAAAAAACATTGAAATAGAATAGAAGTAGAACGGACATTAAACTGTTTTCAGAGGTAATTTGAAAAGTGCAAAAGAAAATGGTGATTGTTGTTACACGCATCGTTAAAGTGTTGCTCGCCGGGAAGAGAGCGGACGAAGCTCTGGAGACAGATGGCTGGCTAATTAGCTAGTCCTTCTCCAGAGCACCGGGGGGAGGCAGAGGGAATGTTGGACCCAGCTCTTGCTGCTCGGCACCAATCCGCTGTTGGGCTCATTTTCTATTAAGTGTAGCATTAAAGCATGGTGGAATTAGTGAGCTAGCTAACTAGCCAGCTTACCGTTAGCTTAATTCCACCATGTTTTAATGCTACCCTGGTTACAGAAAATAATCTGTACAAATATGCCACTCATCTGGAGATAGTTATGTGCTTTCCTACTCTATGACAAGAGTGTGTGGATGAAGCATTAAGTTGTAAAATTGTACGCATTTATTCTATAAGCTTTGTTACTTTACTTCTCCACTGCTGGTTTTAATCTTACTGTAAAACATCACCTCAGTGAGACCGCGACTTCCCTTAAGTCGGTTTAGTTTATACAGAAGTTGTTAGCAATGGTAATGATACATAAAAATGGCCGCCGCTCACACTGCTACGTTTGTTTGCATGGGAATGTCTGTTCTACTCTATTCTATTTCTATGGAAACAACCTTTTACCATTGCCGACTGGCAGCTTCAGTCTGCAAACGTAACTCCACATGTGAAATTGGAGCCCAAAAATGGTTGTTTAAATTAGATGAATTTCTGTTTACACATTTCCTTTACTTCATCATCCTCGAGGATGTCCCGCCCACTCTGCTCGGTTTGTGATTGGCCAGCTGCTTCCATCTCTACAGATCAGGTACCCGTTATGTCGGAGCTCATAGTTCGTAGTTTTGTGACGCTGTGTTGACTGAAACAATCAAAAGGACGTCATAATCGCTAGTCAGTCAAGCATTAATTAAAACTGTGAACTGTTTGTCCAGATGTTTTCATTAAAGCAATGCCTTATTGTATGGAATCTCATGTGCTCTTAATTGAACAATCATGCTTTTATCGCTCGTCTCGTTGTCTCAGCTTTTTGTTCAATATTATGGATTATAGTTTACAAGCAGTAAAAGCCCTGGTCAGTGATGGATGATACAGTACATATACCTCAACAACACTAAATTCAATTAAAGGAGTCTCAAACTTTAAGAGGAAAACAATCAATACGTACTAGAGGGTATCTCTATTCGAAATGTGTCACATTAATCACATTAACTGAATCAGCTTTGTTGTAGGTTTATGGGCTCATGGGTGCTTTTTGTTTTCAGCAGTTTTGTAAATTCAGGCTGGATTAGAGCCTCCGGTCTGTTTAAAATGACTAATACCTGAGTGGATCCAAATGGACTCTCTATGGGCTCTGATCCAATGGTGGCTCATGATCACTGCAGGAGAATAACTTTTATTTTTAACACCGATGGATTGTGTGAGGTGCATGAAAGAGTATCATGCGACTGTTTAGACAGACAAGAGTAAGTCTAAAAATCCAGATTTAAAGCTAAAGTAGGTAATGTACTGTAGAAACATTTTTGTTATACTTGTCAAAATTCTTATTACATCCCTACAGGAATCAAAAAAGCAAATGCTCCTACCTACCTGTTGACCATGTTTGTTGTTTATGTTCATAATGATCATTTTAGGAGTCTCTTTAGAGGAAGGCCTGAGGGAGCGGGCGGGCTGCCCAGGCCCTTAAAGAAAAGCACTGGACTTTTGATGAAATTTCGACATAGTGGCCAAACGGTGGAATTATAACTTCCTGGTCGGTTACGTAAAGCCATTGGGCCTAAAAACATTCATATACATACAAGACAATTCTTTTGAAGTGAATCATTTTCCCGATACAAACGCTTGAACAGTCATTATGTCCTAAAATTTGAAAAATAGCTGAATCCAGAGTTACTCTCCCTCCGAGAACAAGACTAAACCGTGGGCTGGGAGGTGGGGCTGAAGGAAATTCTAGTGAGCGTGCTCCATGGGCCCGATAATGTGGAAGATCGTTGGAAGATCTAGGCAATTTTATTACTGGAAGTCAAACTTTTTTTGCTTAATGCGCCACTGAGCAACTTTTATAGCAATGAATGTGGCCACGCCTCCAATGCTGTATCTTTATATGTCTGCTGTGTTGTTGACTTTTCCGCTAGAATTAGCAACAGTTGGAGCAAGTGCTGCAAGCTACTTTTATCGGAAAATAATTGTCAACACTGGGATGGATTTTCAGCTGGATAATGTTTAAAATCTAGTGTACTCTTGTAAGTTTCACCAATGTTACCTACCCAAGCTTTTAAGTCCCAAATCAAGATGGTGAGTCCAGAATGCGGACCCATGAAGACCTCTACTAAAGAGTCCAAAGGCCTTGACAATATGCTTGTTTTTTTTTACCCTCAAACTGTTTGACAATAAACAATCTTTCAGTATGAAAATCTTTGTATTTCCTAGACTTGCACTGTCCATTCCCTAAAATGCCAAGAACAATTATGAAATCCTGTTAGAGATCAACATTCATCAGATGAAAACCTTAATGTACCAGTAAAACAACAGGAACATTGCTGTTTCTATGATCAGATATTTAAGTTGTACGCTACTGTATATAAAGAATACGATAAGTTATTTGTGATTGGAACAACCGCAGGAAAGCAATGTCTCATTACACATGAATCCATGGGTATGTTGCAATGGGCTCATGTCTTGTTGCACATTTTTTCTTCATCTGTCTATGTTGTGTTTTTAATAATTGATGACCTTGTAGGGATGTGGAAAGTTGTCCAAATGAATTCAACAAATTCATTTTCTTGAATTTATCGTAACTTTGATGTGCTGATTTCCCTTTTTTTAATGCCAGGACTGTATAAATGATGTCAATTAGTTTTTTCCCCCAAATTACTGTCTTTGTACATATAATGTGTTTTTGTTTTTTGGAGGTAATGAAGTACATTTGATAGCTATGGGTGGATATCCATTCAGAGGGATATCTGTACCCTTCCACCTCGCTCAACTAATCTAATCAAACTTCTTGTCACTTAATTAATAATGATGTCATCCCAAGAGCCTTTTTATCTGTGTGCAATATTTGCTCGTCGTGCAGCATAACTATAGCCACTTCTAAAATGTCGTGAGGTTCGTTCGCTGCCATAAAGGCGTTGTTGTCCTTTTTCCATTTAGAGCTGTTGTCTTTAATAGTCAAAGAGGAGGTTTGTTTTGTAATAGACCTAAATGTGGTATGAACGAAACAGGTGTCTGTGTAATTGCACAAATAACTGGAAGGTTAAAGGCTTCAAAACAACAAAATACGACTGTTCTTGTGCATTTTCTGTTTGTTTACAAACTATTAAAGCACATCATGTGTGTTGTGTACATCGATTTAATCCCTGACATATTTATGGAATAAGTGGCATCGCAAAGGACTTCCCCACATTGTGTGCAAAATAATGCAGATGAAAAAATGTTACGGTCCAGTTTTGAGTCATAAATCCTGAAGGTGAGCTGGTATTTTTACTGTCGGCTCTGTCGACCAAATTAATTACATTTCGGACGGGAGTTTGGTCAAAAGTTTTAAAGTGAGAACATTTCTTCAGTAAGACGAAACAGGCTGGAGGTATTAGTATTCAAGAACTTGCACAATGATGATTCTACTGTTGACTGAACTTGATTCTTTTTGTACTTTTAAATAATCTAAATTAGCTGTCAGCAGTATAGAGAGCTAAAGTTATGGCTTTCTGTTCCACCAGTTTAGGAAACTCACTGCAGGTTTAGAACTTCTTTCATGTGTGTTCCTTCACTTTTTCATATATATAAGACAATTCTACATCCACTGCAGCAGTAAATAAAATCGTTATGATTTTAACAAAATTAAACAACGATTACCTTGTGAGTACAGAAACAACTTGCACCAAAAGGCTGTATTCTTTTAGTTATTACAGCTGTTACGAGATTTTTTCTGATACTAATGACTGTAACAGAAATGCCTCTGACACAGCTTAAAATGCTGTTCGGCTATTGGCGAGTATACAAGCCTTTGCACCGATCCGCCATCCCGTTATCATATCATTCATCAGCTTATCCATACATTCTGTCATTTACGTTAAAAAAACGGTCGCTGCGTCTGAAGTCAGTGAAGGAAGTAGCTAACGCTTCTTTCTCGTCTCTGTTGAGAGTTGCACAATGTCAGTGCCGATCGGGCAGGGGCTAGTGTAGAGTGTAACGTTAGCAAGAGCAAGCAATATGTCCGCAATTTGGCAAAATTGTATTACTGGAAAATCTGTCAAACTGGATAATAAAAGAAAGCTCTATGACATTGGTTCCCTGTATGTATTTGTTTGTCTTATGAAGGGTTTGAACCTGAGCCAGATCTTGGCATTGAAAGCAAATCACATCCATACACAGTTAGTAATATACAGTAGTTAAAAAAAGGATAATACATATACAATTTTTTGTTTTTAACACACTGTTATTTGATCGTTATCGGATAAAATGTTATCGGAACATTTATAGATGCTACAATTGTCAATAGGATTTTGAATGAGGTTTTCCTACCTCTGGAACAGAACGCTAAAGTTTGTTTATCTAGGTTATGTCTAATTTGTTCGTAATACTTAACATTTAACATTTGTTTTGTTGGTGTTGTAACTCCTTTAGCTTATGTACGTTTATCCATAAAGGTAAGACTTGGGTTCTCAGTCATTTTTACTCTTCCCGTTGCTTTGCCTCCTCCATCACAGGGTTGTTTTTGCATTTCATCAAAGAGAGCACAGATCTTTGTTAACGGTTCAACGGAGGTGCAACCATAAACGTAATTGATTGTGGCACTTGAGAAGTGATGCTTTTCAGTTCTCACACTATCAAAAGACTAACGGAGTTAAAGCAATCTCAGGATGTGATTGAACAACCATTTACTTAGAGGCGGTCTTTGTAAGGTTTTATCTCCAATCCCTTTATCTTGTAGTAGGTTAAAAGATGTGGTCAAAAGGCAACTTCTATTTTCTGTTGTGTTGTTGTTCCCGACATGCAGCTCCATCTGTGATCATTATGTCCAAGAATGAAAGTTGATACAAGTGACCTTGTGGACAAAGTCCCCCCC